AACCCTAACCCTAACCCTAACCCTAACCCTAACCCTAACCCTAACCCTAACCCTAACCCTAACCCTAACCCTAACCCTAACCCTAACCCTAACCCTAACCCTAACCCTAACCCTAACCCAAAGTAACCCTAACCCTAAGCTAATTATAGAGTAATAGCTAGAGTACTTTTACTAGAAGTTACTACTAAGAGGTCTTAAATAACTACTAATCTACTTAGAACTAGGGTACCTTATAAGAAAGGATATACCTTTACTAAGTATATTAAAAATAAGGTAAATTATTATTTTTTAAGGGCTAGGATCTATTAAATTTCCTTATTTTATAAAATAATATTATAATACTAGCTAGCTAGCTAGCTAGTATATATACTATATAGTATACTAAAGGGGTACTAGAGAGAGAGTAAGAGTACTAGTAAGAGTATTAGTAAGAGTACTAGTAAGAGTAGGTTATAGTAGCTATAAGCTATAGCTAGTACTATAGATAAAGCTTTTATAATAATTTTATAGCTTTAGTAGCTACTTATATAATAAGAAAAGGTCTTTTTTTAGTTATAGCTTAATACCTCTTCCCTCTCTACTTATATACCTTATAGTGCCTAGGAGCTAGTTATTAATAGGGTATTACTCTATTTTAATAATAGGTTAGTATAGTATACTATAATATCTACCTATAGTATATAAACTAAACTTCTTTACCTTTTCTACTATATAGAGTATACCCTATTTATCCTTATTCTCTAGGAATATATTAGGGTATAGAACCTAGAGTATATAGGTAATTATAACTACTACTAAGAGCCTAGGTTATTTCTACCTTAAGAAAGCCTTAAACTATAGTATCTCTTTACTTACCTATAGTATAGCTAAGCTTATAGCTATTATCTATATAAGTATTAATATAAAAGTGCCTTTTAAGTTACCTTTAGTAACTAATTATATAAGGTAGTCCTAAGTAACCTAGAAGTAGTTTATAATAGCCTTATTACTTATAAAGTTCTTATAATACTTAGTAAACCTACTAGATATAGATTTAAGTACTATTTTAAAGGGTATTAAGCTTCTAAAGTTAATTACTTAGTAATAAGCCTTTTTAGGACTTTTATCCTCTTATCTTATATATATCTTATTTTTAATAGCCTCTTACTAAAGACTACTATATAAAGTAGTAATAAGCTACTTTATTTATACTAGGCTAATAAGCTATAAAAGAGCCTCTTATACTACCTAATACTAATACTATAGGGTTAGCTTATATAGAATTATAAAGTAGTATTATATATTACCTACTAAATAGTATACTTAACTCCTATACTATAAGGATAGAGCTAAGCTATTACACCTAGTATAAGTTCTCTTTAAGTAATATACTATTAGGCGCCCTATATAGTAGTAAATATAGGAAGTATTTTATATATAACCTTATTAATAAAGAGGGTATATAGTAATATAGTAGCTAAACTAATATAGCTAATAGTAATAGATAGAAGGTAAGCTAGATAGTATATTAAGTTAAGTAAGGAGGATAGTAGAGAAGGACCCTATTATATATATAGTATTTTAACTAATACCTTAAAGACTATATACTTTATTATAATCCTAACCTTAACTAAATTAGTTAAGGCTAAAAGAATAGATAGATTAATAAAGTACCCTAAGTAGTAATTTTAAAGTAGATAAGAGAAGTAGTCTTCCCTACTATATAGTTAGGGATAAAAACTTCTACTATTACTACTAAGAGGTTATATATACCTAGAGTAACTATTTATAAAGTAAAACTATTTATTAACCCTATATTCCTCTATTATTATATCTAAGATAACTATCCCTCCTTTCTATACTCTAAAGTAGGCTATTACTTCCTTAGTAGGTCTTACTTATATATATAATAATACTATAGCTATAGCTCTTACTAGTATAGCTAGTAATAGTATATCTAATTACCTAGTTATAGATTCTTATAAAGAAGTCCTTTTAATCTTATCTATATATAATAGTATATTATATAATAGTTATTATAAGGTTATTACTAAAAGTAGTAACTACCCTATATTTACTATTTATACCTATACTATTAATAATTATTATAATAAGTTAGACTAGGGTGTTACTTAGTTAGGTTAAGATAATACTACTAACCTTAAGAACTTTAATATCCTTAATAACCTAGTACTAGACTAGCTATACCTTAATATAAGTATAGTAAATATAGAGAGTTAATAGCTAGACTTAAGTACTAGTTAATACTTTAAGGTAAATTACTAATCTTAAGACTTTAAGTATAAAGGTATAAAGAGAAAGGCTATACTACTATAGCTAAGACTTAATATATATAATAATACTTAAATTTATTAATAAGGTATATAGTATAAACCCTAAGCTTAGTAAAGAGGGGGTAATCTTACTTTTCTTTATTAAGTATAGCCTTAACTATATAAAGAATAAGGTTAAGCTTAACTAGGAACTATTTATATACTTTACTTTCTATATTAATATACTTAATATTATTAGTAAGCCTTTCTAGACTATTTTAAAGAACTATATACTATTTAATATAATTATTATAAAGATCTATAACTAGGCCTTAAAGTACTAATCTAAGTATATATATAATAGCCTTCCTTTTAACCTATCTAGCTATATCTTCTAAATTACTATTAGCCTAAGCTAATATAACTAGTTTATTATTATAGTTCTAAAGAAGTTAGATATTAATAAAGAAGTAGCCTTAATATAGAAGGAGAAATACTATACTACCTATATCTAGTATAATCTAGCTAAGGCACTAGTATAATATATTATCTATATTTTTAACTAATAGGGGCTTAGTAAAGAGGGTATAAAGGATAGCTAGAGTATTAATAATATAAAGTAGAGTATATAGCTAAATAGTAAGAAGTAGCTATAATTCTAATAGTAGTTTTATTATAGCTAGTCTATATTTATTATAAAATAAGGGTATAAAGAGTTCTAAGAGAAGTATAACCCTATATTCTATATATATAACTATAAAGGTAATATTAAAATACTAATTTTAGATAAAATATACTAAGTATAACTAAAGATAATAGAGTTTAGTCTTAACTCTAACCTTAATAGTATTAATAACTTTAACTCTAATAATAACTTTAACTTTAACTTTAATAATAATTCTAACTCTAATAATAATTCTAATCCTAATAATAATTTTAACTCTAATAATACTAGTAGTAACTATAAACTAGCTAGGTAATAAATATTAACTACTAATAAACCTATCCTATTTAAACTATATACCTAAAGTAAGAGGGAATTAGCTTAATCTCTAAATATAATATAGGATATTACTAACTATACCTAGATCTCTTATACCTTTACTATTAATCTTTAATATATATAAGGTAGTATATAACTAGTTCTCTTAGCTAACTTTTAAAAGGTAAGTAAGTAGTTTAGTATTAGTATAGAGAAGGCTATATTATACCCTTTAGTATTTAGCCTATTATATAATAACTTTACTATAGTTATACCTTAAGAGTTTAGCTAGTCTTTAATCTATATTCTAGTAGGTAATACTAGCTATAGGAATAAGGGTAAGACTATCTTAACTATAGGTAACTATTAGGGGTATATAAGTAGGCTAAAGTATATAGTATATTATAATCCTAACTATCTCCTAGCTAATAAGGGTATTACTACTATAGTACTTATACTTAGCCTAAAAGAGCTTTAATAGCTACCCCCCTATATCTAGTATAGGTATATAACCTTACTTAAGTAGTACTATAGTAAGCTATCTCTAGATAATAAGAATATATTAAAGCTATTTATATAAGAGTACTAATATATATAGAATACTATTAATAGTAAATTACTAGTATATTACCTTAAATAGGTCTTTACTATCTATACCTATAACCTTACCCCTTAGAATACTATATTCTTTACTATCCTTATACCTATTAAGTAGATAATATAGTTCTATATCTACTAGCTATAGGATACTATCTATATACTTAACCTATTCCCTACTATAGTATTTCCTAGTATCCTTATAGCCTTTTCCTACCTATTTAAGTTTTTATTTAAAGAGCTAGATAACTAGTATTATAATAGTTATAAGAAAGGCCTATCCTTAGTACTATATAAAGCTACTACTATCCTTAACTAACTAGCTAGCTTTTACTTTATAGGTAACTATAGTATCCTACCTACTACCTTACTATAACTACTTAGTATAATAGATAGTCTTAATAAGGCTAGCTAGCTATATATAAACCTAAACTACCTTAGCTTTTATATAGGTAAAGGTTCTTTAAATATATATAAGTAGCTATAGTTCTATTATAATAGGAAAATACTACTACTTATATATATAGCTACTCTTAGCTACTACTATAGCCTAAATATTATAGTAGATAAGAGTAGCTAGGTCTAGTTTAATAAGCTAAAGATATAATAAATTAAAGATAGTTATAAGTTAAAGGACTTTCTTAAAAATATCTTTAAAAAGGTATAAAAGCCCTAGATAATAGATTTTATAGTTAAGTAAATCTAATAAAGAGTAGTAAAAGGTATATAGTTATAAGACTAAACTAGGTTTAAGATTAGTAACTAAGTAGAATATATATTAAATTTTATTATAGAGTAGTATTTTAGCCTATACCCCTTTAGCTTAGGGTAAGTACTACTATCTAGATAGACCCCTTATAATTACTATAATATACTAATTAAGATTTATAATATAGGTAACTTAATTAAATTATTAAAACTATATATACTAAATTCTAACTAGATATAAATAAGGTAGAACTTTCTTATTAGAACTATATAATAGCTATTATTAATATTATATAGAATAATCTAAGGTTATAAGCCCTTACTAATAAGTAATTAATATAGCTTATTCTTATTTATTAAATATATAAGTTAACCCTTAAGATTATTATTAATAATATAGAATAGGTTTATATAGTATAATATACTATTAAGTCCTACCTTATATAGTAAATACCTTTTACTATTAAAGGCTACCTATCTACTATTATAGCTATATTACTAACTAGGCCCCTTAAGAGGCTATTAGGGGATAGTAACTATATACTCTAGGTACTTACTAGTAGGAAGTATTAGGCTATTAAAATAACTAACTATATTATAAAGAATAATAATAAGTATCCCCTTAGGTATATTAAATATTCTTTTATTATAAGCTTTTATAAATTAATTCCTTTCTAGACCCTATTTACTATAATCTAAGAAAGGGTAGATATTATAATAGATAGGTATTATAATAAGCTAAATATCTATTACTATTTTACCTTTATATAGAAATAAATATAGGAGTTAAAGAAGGGTATTAATACCTAGCTTATAAACTTAATATATCTATTTATAGTAATATTAACTACCTTAAAGGATTACCTTACCCTTTAATATCTAAACTTTTAATTTATACTTTTTAAGATACTAAAGAAGAGCCTACTATAATAGGCCTTTATATTAATATACTAGATAGTAATATACCTAGTATATATAGAATTCTCTACTAAGTTTAATAAAAAGACTTAAGATAGGGTTTTCTAGAAAATAGGTAAAAAAAGCTAACTATAAGTTAGGTATTTATATATATTAATAGAATAAGTAGATTTATTTAATATAATAATTATAATATATAAGTATCTTAGTTAGATTTCTATTTAAAGGGGTAAGAGGTTACTATATTATAGTAACTATAAGTTATAGCTAGTTACTAATCTTAAAAGGTAATAAGATAAACTTATATAACTACTTAAAAACCTATTAAGATTTATCTAGGCTATTTATAATAGTAAAGATAAAGATAATACTATATAGGTAGAGTAATATAGGTTTATTATTATAAAGGTAGAGAAAGGGGGTCTAAAGTAGCTACTAAAGGATTTCCTAGTAATTATATAAAGTATATTCTTCTAGGTATATACCTTAGTATAGGGACTATATCCTTACTTATATTATAGGTAGTAAAGTATAATATTCCTTATTATTATTATAGGTAAGGTATATATATAGTAATATTAGAAGAGATTTTAAAGTAAGTTACTAGGAGAATAAAATAATCTTACTATATTTTCTTTATAATAGGAAGTAATTAAGATACTATTATTAAATAGACTAAGGTATAGAATTAAAATTAAAAATATAAGAGCTTCTTATAAAGAAAGAATATAAGGCCTTAATTAGCCTATTATATATTAAACCCCTTTTCCCTTATTATAAGATATATTAGCTAGAATAGCTTATAAAGTAGATACTATATATATTAACCCTAGTAAAACTAATAATAAAGATTCTATCTATCTATATATATTTATTCTTTATTTATAATAGACTTTACCTTTTTTTTACTACTCTTCCTCTTAGCTTACTTATTCTTAAAGACTATTACTATATACTTAGTTATAGCTTCTACTATATTTATTAAGTAGCTAACTAATAGGCCTAGCTATTTTAGTATATATATATTTCTAGCTAGCTTACTTTATTAAGAGGTAGATATAGGCCTATATAGTGTTATTACTAGTAAAGCTACTAGTCTAGAAATATTAGAGGATAGAGAGATAATTTTTATAGGGGATAAGATACTTAGTAGTAAATTATATACTATAGGTATAAGAGGTATATATAAGAAATATATAGGTATAAGAATAGTAAGTAGGCTTTCTAAGCTTAGTACTTTATATAGTTAATTATATATATTATTATTTCTATCTATACTTTTATCTAAGTCTATATTCCCTTTTTCTACCTTATTATACCTATTTATATTAATATACCTATCTACTAAATTATTATTATACTATTTAGGTTTAGGTATAGCTATATTACCTTTAGTAAAGTATATTAGGTTAATATAGCTAGGTTATAAGAGGCTTATCTAATAGTTATAATACTTATTATTATCCTTAGTATTCTTTTAAAGCTATATAGTAAGTAAGGCCTTAAAGTATAGACTTTATAGTTTATAGGTAATTAAGTAACTATATAGCCTAGCTTAGTTATAAAGATAGTTAAGAAGGTATTTTATAAAATCTTAATATACTCTCTCTTCTTAACTACCTTAATCTAGATAATATTCCTTTAATAAGGTATTAATATCTTACTATACCTTAGCTATTAAAATATATTCCTTTATAATTTATAGTAGCCCCCTCTAGAGTAATCTAGGGGTAAAATGCTAATAATAAGTATTAATATTAATAGTATTAGGTATTAGCTTTTCTAAGTAGGGCTATATATCTAGATCCTATAGGGTAGTAATATAAAGTAAAATATATTTAAAGACTTTATACTATAAAAGTATATTAGCTATTTTAGCTAAACTATACTCTTTATCTAGATAAAAAGGTTAAATATTAAGTTTTATAGTATAGCTATTAATAAACTATTATATTATATAGTATAGACTATATACTAGGGATTCTTTAATCTTAGGTTTTTAATTATTACTTCTATTATAAACTTAATTATTTAAAGTACTTATTTACTAGGTTATAGCTATTATAACTTATTAAAGTATATATAATTACTTTTAGTTTAGTTTTATTATTAGTACTAGGTTAAGAAATAATAGGTTAGGGTTCTTAGTAAGTTTAATATATATATTATAAAACTCTTTATTAGTTAAAGGTAGTAATAACTTTTAAGATTAAATTATCTTTTATTAAATATTATTTACTTTAGATTTTAGGTAAAATAGTTTTTATATATATATATTATAGTCTAGGTCTTATTATAGAATAGTAGTAAGAAGCTCTTAATCTTATAATAGGATATTTATTATCCTATTAAGTATATATAGTATAATAAAAATATAATAAAATTAGATAAAAAAAAACTACTAATTATTAGTATTATACTAAATATCCTAATTATAATAGCTATATTATAGCTATATAAAATATATATATATTAAGGTTATAATATACCTTATTAACTCTTTAAGTAATTATCTTAACCTATTAGGGTATATTAAATAACTACCTACCTAGTACTATTCTATACTACTTAGTTATAATATTATACTAATATTTATTTCCCTATATAGTTACTAGCTATTTTAGCTTATACTTATCTTACTAACTAAGATCTAGTTTTATAGCTATTACCTCTAATATTACTAAGTAGTTATCCTTAAATCTAAGTAGTTTACTTTTTAATATAGTAATAGCTTATATCTATATATTACTATATATATTAGGTTTACTAATCTAGCTATAGTTTATTTAGATTTAGTAGTTTTATTAATCTAATAGTAACTTTAAAGTATAATTATTAACTCTTATTCTATATAGATAATATAGCTTATATATACTATAGGCTATAATAAACTATAAGTAAATATCTTATATATTTACTATAGATTATTCTTTTCTTAATACTATACTTTAGCCTACTCTATAAATACTAATAGGTAATATTAACTATTAATAATCTTAAGTTTAATATTACTATTAACCTTAGACTAGTTACTAAAGTTATATAGCTTTTAGGATTATACCCCTCTCTTTAGGCTAATATATATATATATCTTCTTTAAATCTATAGTAGAATAAACTACTTATATATAGTTAGGGGTAATTATATAGTTTAGTCTATAGTTCTTAGTAAAAGCTTTTATTAATATCTTAATATACTAAGGGTTAATAGGATAGTTTTTACTATTTTTCTATTTTATAGTAAGGGTATATACTAGTATATAAGCTATTATATTATACTATAGGGGTAGCTTTAAAAGCTCTTAGGGTATTTCCTTTACTTTTTTAGTTTAGCTACTCTTACTTAAAGTAGCTTTCCTTTTATATATAGCTTCTACTATACTCTATACTACTAATATAATACTAAAATATTAAGGTATATAGGTAAACTAATTATAGTATATAGTTATATAGTTCTTATAGAATAAGCCTATAATAAATAATCCTATCTATTTATCTACCTATAATACTAATAAATAGTTTTCTAACCTAGTTACTTTTAAAATATTTTACCTTTAAAAAAGATAGTAGTTAAGTATTTATTACTACTATATAAAGAATATCTTTTATTTTTCTAGTATACTCTCTAATATATAGATCTTATTCTATTAAGTAATATACTAGAATAGAACTAGCCTAGACTACTCTTATAGTATTAATACTACTATTCCTATTTATAATATAGCTAAAACCTTAATACTATAAAATAAAGTAAAAAGTATATAATAACTATATTAGTAACTTATTCTTTAATTATATATACTATTCCTATTACTATATACTATTCTTAACTTAGCTAGTAATATATACTATAAATATAGGGTAAAGAGGTTTATAAGCTTAGTAATATTATTATATAACTATTTAGAGTAGGTATTTAGAATTAAATCTAAAAGTATAGTAAAGATATAAGAATTATCTAGACCTTAAAAAGTTAATATTATACTAGCTTAAATTTACTAATAGAAAAGGGGGAAATAAGGATATCTAAAAAATAGAGCCTTTATTACCCCCCTAGAAAAGAATATTACCTCCTTAGTATTTAGTTTCTTTACTACCTTTAATATAATATTATTAATATATTAATTCTAGCTAAATACTTTAAAGAATAGATATATTAAAAGTTTAATAAGTTTATAGATAAGTATATTAAATAATACTACCTATTAATATTATATATAAGCTTATAAGCTTTAAGGTAGTATTAGGTTTAAAATATAGCTATTATATAGGGGTAGATTTTTCTATATAAGATATATTATATATCCTTATTTCTATAGTTATTATTTTATTCTATTTTAGAATATATATTATATAGTTACCTTTATTATTATATATACTTAGTAAACCTAGAATACTATCTTTATTATATAATAACTCTTATCTATAGATAACTTTAATATAAATACCTATATTAGTTTATAGATAACTTTAATATAAATACCTAGGCTAGTCTATAAATAACTTTAATATAAATACCTAGGCTAGTCTATAAATAACTTTAATATAAATACCTAGGCTAATATAAAAGCCTAGGCTTATCTATAAATAACTTTAATATAAATACCTAAGATTATTTACTAATAAATAACTTTAACTTTAACTTAAGGTTATTTATTAGTAAATAACTTTAACTTTAATACCTAGGCTAATATAAACGCCTAGGCTAGTCTATAAATAACTTTAATATAAATATCTAGGCTAATCTATAAATAACTTTAATATAAATACCTAGGCTAATATAAATATCTAGGCTAGTCTATAAATAACTTTAATATAAATATTTAAGATTATTTACTAGTAAATAACTTTAGCTTTAATACTTAAGTTTATCTACTAGTAGATAACTTTAGCTTTAATACCTAAGTTTATCTATTAATAAATAACTTTAGCTTAACTTAAGTTTATTTACTAATAGATAACTTTAGCTTTAATACCTAAGTTTATTTACTA